TTATATGGAGAAGTCCATTTATTGGCCGCACCATATTTTGATGAAATCGTTTTTTGTCAACTTTAGTGTTTGAGACTTCGAGTCTTGCTTTGTGTGATTCGTGCATGATTTTTGTTAAGAGTTCTTTATTATATACGACCTTCATTTATTATTTGCAAATTATATACGACCTTCATTTATTATTTGCTTGTTTATCTCTCATGTTTAAAACATCAAATGTCCATTACTTAATTAAATTACTTATAATTTAATTAATTATTATTTTTTATTTCAAAATTAGTACCACTCAACTTTATTACTATGCCTGATAATTCCACTCAATTCGGGACCATAAGCCTGACGCATCATGACACATACTCATTCTATAATTAACACACACCATATAAGCAATACTTAGTTTCCCACTCACATAGTTTATTGATTAATAAAAAAATACATATTGAATATATGTGCTCGTTATTATCCAGATTAAGAGGACGAACATCAATACTAGCTGAGGTCTAATTCTTTTCTTAAATTAGCATAGAATGAACTTTCCCCCACGTTTTTTTTTTTGATAATAACATTATATCATTCAATCAACCGTTCAACGATACAGTTTGAAAGAAAGGAGATAGAAAAGACGGGATACAATCCTTCCACAAGAAGGATCCCGTCGATCGGATAGCCCATTTAGCTAAACAATGAGCTATAACATTTTGCTCACGACTAACATGGCTACACTTCCCACAATTCAACAACTTCAACAGATTAACTATATCCGAAAAAACATTGTGCAAGGGATCATTTGGATGTTGGTCTGAGATACCAAAAATGGTAGAAGCGGCATCAGTATTTGCGTTTTGAAGCGTAAACCATGAATCCAATGCAAATCGAAGACCAAATCAGAAACCCACGTTTTTATTTAATATACACAAAGTGTAGTAGTATAGTTTATTAGTTAAGACAAAACCAATCGAAAATTATACTACAATCATTATGTAGTTTGTTCATTTCTATCCGGATTATCAACTATAGTTGTACGTTATAAAGAACCGATAATATGAACATCCGTGTTATACAATACACCTTATTATCTACAATATAAAATAAGTGGACACATTGTGTTACCATTTATAAAATAAAATCCAAGCACAACTTTTAACTAAACATAATTCTAATTAAAAATGAACATAAAATTCAAATTAAAGCAAAACTTCCAATACACAAACTTTCACTTTTATTCATCTATTCTTTTCAAATGCAAATAATGATTCATGATAAGTTAACCTATCTCCGAGGTAGCTATTCTTACTCAAATAGTTTGTTTATTTTGGGATTATTTTTACTCGCCTGGAGGATTAATTTTTCTAGTGCTCGGATTCTTAGAGCCCAAAATTATTGAGTATATAATCACGTATTTTTCTCCAAAACTGCTTATAAACTTGAGAACATTACCCCCAAACACATTTTTTCTTCATCTTATGTTTGCATCGAGCTTTATTCTTTTTTAATGTCACAAAATATCTTATTAGAGCACTCACAATGCATTGGGTCTAATTTTACCTATGTGGTATATAAATAGACTTAAGTCCTAAATGACATGAACAACCCAAGTAAAAAATCTCAAAAGCTATTCAATGCAAAAAATAAAATACTAGATCTAGCATACATGTCAACCAATAAAAATGCTCTAATATGTTTTCTTTATTAAAAGAAAAATTAAATTAGGAAAAAAATGATGAGTGTTTGGGTTTGTACTTTGGTTTAAAATAGACCCAAGTGTGGACTTGGTCTCTTTTTTTTATTACCACATAAGCTAGACCATGTCCACTTTTAATTGTATTGGGAGACATTTTTTTAGGTCTATTCCTATGTGGCATATGATATTTTAGAATATATTTATCTAAGTTAAATTTGTAAAAGATTGTGGACACCATAAATGAGGCACATAACAAAAGTTAATTAGAGTAATGATTTTTCCAAATAATAAAAGCATCATGTGAAAAATCTCGCTTATCAATTATCTCTCTCGGCGGCACCTCCTCAAGTTGACCAGATCATCCGACAAGTTCGTGATTGTGGTCGATGACTCAATTTTTCTGGTATGGGTAAGAAGAATGTTGTTAAATCCAGTCAATCTTAATTGAGAACGTGAAATCTGTTTTCGTTGTTTATATTTGGATCATACTTAGTTTATATGGAGTTTAACTACAAGTATAAAATATATAGGTTATTTTATTTATTTATTTATTTTTGTTTGTTTGTTTGTTTGTTTGTTTGTTTGTTTGTAATCATGTATTTCAACATTGATAAGGACTTGCACATAGTCTTTATCGACCTTGAGAAGGCTTATGACAGAGTATCGAGGAATGTCATGTGGTGGGCCTTAGGAAAGCACAACGTCCCATCTAAGTACATTACCCTCATCAAGGATATGTACAAGGATACGATGACGTGTGTCCCAACATGTGGGGGCGATACCAGCGACTTCCCAATTAAAATAGGATTACACCAGGGGTCAACATTGAGCCCTTATTTATTTGTCTTGGTGATGGATGAGGCCACAAGAGACATACAAGGTGATATCCATTGGTGTATGCTCTTTGCTGATGATGTGGTGCTAGTTGACGAGAGTAGGGCAGGGGTAAATAGGAAGTTAGAGCTGTGGAAGGACACGTTAGAGTTGAAAGGCTTCAGACTTAGTAGGACGAAGACCGAGTACATGACGTGCGCTTTCAACATGGCTACACATGATGATGGTGATGTTAGCCTTGACGGCCAAGTGGTGGCCAAGAAGGAGACTTTCCAGTATTTAGGATCGATGCTACAAAAGGATGACGGCATTGATGTTGATGTTAAGCATAGAATTGCAGCCGGTTGGTTGAAATGGCGTCAACCTTCGGGCGTTCCCTGTGATAAGAGGGTGCCACAAAAGCTAAAAGGTAAGTTCTATAAGACGGCGATTCGCTCGGCGATGCTATACGGTGCTGAATGTTGGCCTACAAAAAGCAGCATGTCCAACAACTAAGTGTAGCAGAGATGCGTATGTTGCGTTGGTTCTGCGGGCACACAAGAAGGGATAGAATCTGGAATGAGGATATTCGAGATAGGGTCGGGGTGGCTCCAATTGAGGAGAAATTGATTCAACATCGGCTGAGGTGGTTCGGACATGTCCAACGGAGGCCTCCTGATGCACCGGTGCGTAGGGGAGTTCTACAGCGGGTCGATGATGTGAAGAGAGGTAGAGATCGGCCTAAACTCATTTGGGAAGAGTCGGTTAAAAGAGACCTAAAAGATTGGAATATCTCCAAGGATCTAGTGGTGGATAGGAGCGCTTGGAGACTAGCAATCAACGTGCCAGAACCGTGACTTTTGCTCCTTTCTCTTTTGCTCCAATCTCTTCCTTTTGTTTTGAGCCCTTTTTGTGTTTCTCTAACCATTGGTTCTCTTGAGTTTCATCTCTAGCCTGCCCCAACTTGCTTGGGACTAAAAGACTATGTTGTTGTTGTTGATGTATTTCAACATTGGTCTTACTTGTCATGTTGGTGTGTTTCGTTTATAAATATTTTCATCAAATAAGTGTGTATTAGTTGGGTGTCATGATCACTTGTTTTGTAAGAAGTGTATAATCAGTTACAAGTATAAAATTTATTTACATATATTGTTGTTTTGTTTCTCTATTGTTCAATAAAATTTTATAATGTCCATGAGTAGGAGTGTAGGACGATGCGCAACAGCAAACCATACCATGAAAATGTACAGACCAGACTCTAGGTGAAACAAAAACATTGCTCTTGTGCGATTTTTGTGCGGCACAACACAAAGTTGACGATGATATTGATGCTGCCAAACTCATATAGCAAATACATAATAAGTATATTCAATATGGAATCAAGCAAAAAGCAATAGCAAACGCCAATAAGGTTTTTAGTTACTCGGTGAAGGTATCAATGACCAGAAACTCGTAAACATGAAAGCCCAATAGTAATAAATGACTGATAAAGAGCACATAATGGAAAGACCTCTCATACTATCAAAAACAATATTTTTTTTTTTTTGGTCTCAATGTTGCTTGAAGAGGGCTTTGGCAATGATTCCAGAAGCTTCCATGTAACGCTCTATGCACCTCGAGATACAACTGCTCTCACTCCCACTAAGGCTACTTCCTGGTTTAGTTATACATTTGTCAAAGCACTTTCCTCTCACAGTCTGCATGGCCAAGCAATAATCAGAAGCTCATTATATAAAAAACAAAAACATCATACATACTGCAAACATAAGTTACCCTATACACACACCCACTCGTGTACTATATACCATATTCCTCAAAGAAGCTAATTTATTATCTTCATACTCAGACCCCCAGACTAGATACATTCTGCAGTGCCCATTTTAAGAAACCAGCATGTCCATAAACTCAGATACATTCAAAAACGAAACAGAAGAAAAAAGAAATTATGATGGATAAAACTAAATTGAATATGCAGGCAAACTGTGCTGAACAGTTAAAAAAAAAAGAAAGCGCAATATTCAGATTGCAAACATGCTCAAGGAACAATACAAATCTAAAAATGAAGATGGTTTTTAGATCAAGCCATTTTTTGCTGGGACCAAAACAGATATCTACTGAATTAACTAAATTTGCTTAAAGTCGGTTATGGCGAAAAATGATGGTTTTCTTTGTTGAAATAGCACTTCTGATGACTGCACAAACACACACACACACACACAGACACACACACATATATACATATATATAGCAATGGATCAAATACAAAGCTAAAATAATTACACTAACTGTCATTGTATATGTAATGATCACACTGCTAAAAGTAAAATTGTATGTTGCTAAAGTAGGAGTACCTTCAATGTATTTTAGCAGGGTTCCTAGTTCGTACATTAAGAATGACTCATAACACTTTTTGCTCCATTACTTATGTGTGTGTATGTATATATCTTTAATGAATTCGTAGCAAATATCCAGGTGCTAAATTGTCACTTCCATACAAATGAGCTTTCATTCTTGGACAACAGGAAGCAAGCTACACTTGCAGAAAATATATCAAACACAGAAACAAAATCACACTGTTCCCAAATTCTACAGTATTCAAGCTGGGATCATGTGCACATTTGGTAAAATAACATGTGTACTAGAATCACTTTGTGTCTTACACAAATCAAGTACAATGCATAAAAGAGAGAATAGCCACAAGCTGCAACACAGATCTCAAGAAAAAAAAAAATCTTTTACTTATCAACATTCAAATCAGTTGCTAAATCATACACAAATTTGTCGATTATTGGAGAATGGGTTTGAATCCTGATTTGCAGCTATCACTTCCACATTCTTGATCAAAACTCACATAACGACTAGTTACTTTTTTGTTATATCCTGGTCAAAGGATATGAGCATTTCAAGGAATTTTTCTCCAACCTTTCTAAGCTATTTTAATACTTTTAAAGAAACTTAAAACCACAAATTGTTCTCAGAATGAAAATTCCTGGTTGAAAAACAAAAGGGATCTCTTCATGCTCAAGTTCCCTATCACATTGACACCAATATCATCTAGACCTACTGCCATACAAAACCAACTCTATGGTGTCACACAAATAAATGTTTTTCACACATTATTAAACTGGTTTAAGAGGCGCTCACCCAGCTATTCCCACATAAACTAATTTATTATTTTGTTCAACGTTGTCAGTTAGGGGGGAAAATTTTATTCAGTCACTCAGTCGACAAGGATGAAAATGCACATAAAACTTCAATTCATATCACATATGCCAATGAACTTATTTTTTGGAGGCACAAATGGAAATACATACTTTGGTAGACATATTCCGAATCACAACCCACGCAGCACTTATGTCAATTACATCAATCACAACATCTGTTAGTAAATATTCATCTATAAGTAACTCCGAACAGAATGACTAGAATTTAATTAACACAAGCTGACAAGCATGAGGCAATTGATACAAGTTCTTGTTGAGTATCCAATTCATTTCACAACAAATATCGAACAATCTCTCAAACAAAGTATTCAGTTTTTATCTATTCTTGGAAAATAGCAATTGATACCTCGAGAAATTCTTCAGCGTGAGCCTGAGCAATCTGAATTCTAAGCTGGTCCTTAAAATCATCCGAGGAGAAATTCGGAGATGGTCCACTTGAAGGCGACGAGAATGAGTCCATATTTGGTTTCACCTTTCTTCTCTGCTCCTCCGCAAAACCCTAAACTCAATATATGGCCACTGCCAATTTCTAAAACCCTTACCGTGGTTAAAAAGAAAGAAATTATCATCCACTACGCCAACTGTTTTAACTTCGAGCACACGTGCCAAAGTATATCATATATGATAATTATTCATAATTATAATTTTATAAATTTTATGTATAAAAATTAAAATTTTAAAAAAAAGTTGTGTAATATGTGTTACATTGTATAATTTTATTAGTGCATAAACTAAAAAATTATATTATCAAAATTTATCTACGTTAAAATATTAATAAGAAGAAGCAGTGTTTTCAATACGGTACCGTACCGGCCGGTAATACCGGATACCCACCATTGGTACAGTATAATTTCACACAGAATACCGGATTTACGGTTATACCAGTTTGTACCGGAGTCATACCGTAAATACTGAAAAAAACTGGTCCAAAATAAAATTAAATTTAACCATTAATCAAAATTATAATAAATAATCTAATTTTTAATATTAATGACACATGACTACTTTTATATTTATAATAAGTTATAAATATATATTTATATATATGTATATATATGAAATTCAATGGTTGCAGGTAAACGGGTAGGTAATCGGGTCGGGCAACGGGTTTTCCTACTATACTAGTTGCAGACCAGTAGGAGTTTTGAAATCTCTCAGGCCAGGATCGCAAATATATCCCATCCAGCGAGATCCGTAGTCTCCAAAAAATGGAATGCTAACTAATAGCATGAATTTTGCGCTTAACTGCGCAGGAACAAAACACGTGCATCCAAAGACTAGAAAATGCCTATAGTACTATTCGGGTAGCATAATTCTACCCAAAACCCGACCCGAAAATGCGGGTACCCCAACCCTACGGGTTTTATTGACATCCCTAAAAATTAAACAAGCTATTATGTAATTTTGATATTTAGAATATCACGTGATAACATTCCTTATATTTATGTTGCTAATAATTTACTGCATGTGATTCACAAATATACTTTTAAGATGCAACTGATTATGTATTCATTAAAATTGCAATTAGTGTTTGGAAAACAAAGAAGTCATACTCTAGTTATTGTTAAGGCTGTTTTACATGACTGTTGTATTATGTAATTTTTTTTTCTTTTAAACTGGCGGGATGGCCCGCGGCTCGCCTGGCCCGTGTGGGCCAGCCCGCTTAGGCCTGCTCTTTGACGGGCCTTTAAAATCATAGCCCAACCCGCCTATCTGGCAGGGCAGGGCGGGCCAGCTGCGGGCCCAGGCCAATTTTAACAAGCTGACTCCAAATTGTTGGCTCCACCTCACAAGTAAACAAAAATCTCGACATAGATTTTGCTTATCATTCACGTCTAATTAGAAATTAGAAACTAGAAACTTTTTGAACCCATACATTGCATATGGTTCGTTTTGTAACCCAATATTATATTTTTAGTCCATTATGGTATACTTTGACAATATTTTTTTACCACAAACCAATGTTAGGATTACTTCAATATTTACTAACTATGCTCACCGCAATAGTAGATATCAGACCTCATTTTCTGCATTGCATACCCTAGGCTTCCTATTGTCGAGCAAAAGGAACTCCTATTGTGCCTTTTGTCACCTTAGATTTCTCTTTAAAAAAAGGAACTCCATAAAGGAAATATTCACAAACCTTCTTGATGTTATGCATGATAACAACGAGCCTTGTGACAAATCCTAGATATGAAGTTCGGAATAAGTGCAACCTTTCTATCTTGTGATCCTTGAACTCAAGATCATGTGCCGATTCTCTCGAGTCATTCACATCTAACTGCTTGGATAATCATACCCTTACTTCTGACAGCATCTTTATACTGTTTCCAATGATCAGAATGTCATCTACGCACAGTATCAAATATACCAACCCGTGCAATTCACACAATGCTCATTTGATAAATGATCAAACCCATAAATTGGATCATAAACCAAATGTACTGTTTCTGTCCACTAATGGACCGTTTCAGTTTACATACTAGATGCTCTCAGCCCTTTACAATTATATTTCAGGGTGCTAGTCCATGGATATTCTCACCAAATTTCCATTTAAGGAAAGTGTCTCTACATCTACCTCGCATAATCTCATAACTTATATGAGTGACTACAGTTTAAAATTCGTGCAGACTCAAGCATGGCAACCGGCAAAAAAGTTAACTCATAATCAGTGACTTTCTTTATGAGTTTACTATTTCATAACAAGTCTCGTTTAAAGTCTACACGACTTTGCTTATATATCTATTTCGCCAATGGCCTTTACGCCACTTGGTGGTTCTACAAGATTCCAGACCTGATTAGAGTCTGATGATACAAGAAATACATAATATTAATCTGAGGATACACTGCGGCGATGTATGCTCTGACATCCTCCTTAGTGCATTTCTTTTTCTTCGACGCCTGCAAAATAGAACCTCAGGGTTATTCCCAGGGGTAGATCCTTTGATACCTAAGTTAGAATCGATTTTTGGTTTAGAGTGGTGCTGTAGAGTATGAGTAGAATAAGAGTGTCTTTGGCCTTACCTTGACCTAAGTCATCCTTTTATAGAGGTCGAATGACCTAGGTATTCCTTTTGTAGATGGAGGACTTCTCATCCCACTAGCTTGGTGGACTATGGTCCACCAATTGGGCTACCTCGGGACCTTGGGCCTAAAGTAAGGCTCCACGGGACCTTGGACACTAACAGTCCTCAGAACACACGTGCCTTTATTCTACTGAGCCACGTGTCACATAATAAATGTATATTTTATCTTTTATCACTTGTTCCCCATTTATGTACGCGATAATTTTTACGCATACAGAAAATAAGAGATGAGACAATTAAAGAAGAATATCTATAATTGGTGAATTTCCGTAATGTTGCATAGGTAGACGTTCAAGCTACTTGCTATAAAATGTCTCACTCTCATTTGTCTTCTCACTTTTGACATTGATCTTTTCTAGAGAGAGAAAGAGAGAGGATCAAGTTTTTGGGATTGCATCGATTTTCCACGCTCGACGTCAGCCTTCGAAAGTCCTCAGATCCTGGTAATTTTTTCTTTACTACGTCATTATTTCTTCATGTCTTCGATAACTAGTTATTATTCGCCGATGTCTGTAGCGTTAATAGTTACCTTCAAGGACATTGACAATAAATTTCTATTAATCACCAGCAGTATGACAAATTACATCGCACGATTCATAAAAAAAAAATAAATAAATAAATAAACATAATATTTTTTCAAATTGTTTCTCTAACACTGTTGTGCTTGTTATTTCTTACTTCCTGCATGTTGTTTTCATTAACTTGTTATTTGCAGTTAAGTCACTCGAGTTCGTACTCAAGATCCTGCCCTCTAAAAAACATGTGGCCACCAAGATATCTGCTCAGTGTTATGCCATGTTTACATCTATGGCCTTTGAGCTACCTCCTCGGGGTTCTGACATCCTTGCACTTCTATTTAGTTTCTTACCCCCGAACTAGTGCTCAGGGCTCTGCCAACTTTGCACTTTACTTGCAGTTATGGCCCCCTACCTAGCTGCTTGGGTTTCTACCAACTTTGCAATTCACTTGTACTTATAATTGAGAACACTTGGCATAATAATGAGGAACTTTATTCATAATATCAACTGAAAGTGTCTGAATAATGGAAACAAACTGAATGCATAAAACAATCTAGCCAAACATAAGCATGGTACTCTTCAAATATGCCACTTTCCATGGTCGGGGCATGAGCTTCCTCTTCGCATCTCACAGCTTGTATGCACCTCATAAAAACACGCATTCGATTGAGTACGACACTTTCCCAATTTGACTCGACCTTGTCGCTGTGCTTGAGTGTATCTACTTGGGGCCATACCAGGTCGCCCACTTGAAGACTTCGAGGTCACACCTTCTTGTCACGAGCCGCCCTCATCCACTGCTTGTAGACACCAGTACTGACCCTTTCTTAGTCACAGAGCTCATCTACCAAGTCCAACACTTCTTTGGTGAGCTCAACATTTTTCTCAATATCGTAGGACGAGATCCTCTGCGAACCGAAACCTATCTTCACATGGATTACAACCTCCATGCCATACACCATACTGAAAGGTGTTTCTCCTGTCGAGGGACAGGTCGTGGTTTTATATGCCCATAGGACCGAATCTAGCTCGTCCTCTCGAGTATGGTCTTTAGCCCACTCATTATTGAACTATTTGCTACCTCTGTCTATCTGTTTGCTTGAGGGTGTGCTACAAATGTAGAGTGTTTCTTAATCTTCATAGCCTCACACCAAGTCATTATCTTTTGATCCATGAACTGTGTTACATTGTCCAACACAAGCACCCAAGTAACCCAATACCGCAACAAATATTGGTGAAAAGAAACTTTATCACCTTTTCTTGTGTAATCGTTGCCACTAGTACGGCCTCGATCCACTTGTTGAATGATCTACTACGACCACCAAGAACTTTCTCTAGCTCGTTCCTTGAGGTAGAGGACCCACGATGTCCATCTCCCACTGGTCGAAAGATAATGGCGAGCTTATGGGGATCATCTCTTCTGCTAGTCGATGGATGAGCGGACCGTGTTGCTGACACTCAAGGCATTTTTGTAAGAGATCCTGAGCCATTGCCCTCATCTTAGGCCAAAATTATCTAGCTCGCAGCACTTTTTCGACCAATGCTCTGGCCTTGGTGTGGTTGCCGCAACAGCCATCATGCACTTCTTTCAGCACAGACTCTCCCTCCTGGTCGGAGACACAAGGCAGATGCAGCCCCACATAAGACCGTTTGTACAACACTTTTTCCTACAAAAAGAATCGTAAAGCTCTTCTTGCAATCGAATCACCTCAAATATCTTTATCCTTTATCAGATTTTGCAACCATCGTACCAGCAACAACCTCTAGTCATTTGGATCCTCATGTTCTTCGACCTCCATGACTGGCTCCAAGACACTAGAACCCATCTCTAATAATGTTACCGACCTGGACTTACA